CAGTCTACATTTTTAGATAAACTAATGGACTGGGAAAGACAGAAAGAGGTATATTTGAGTTATAAAGCATCTGTTTGTATGCTGAAGACAGGTATCACTGACAACTCTTTGAAAAATACTACAGTAAGATTTGAAATAATTATTCAAAATTCTATGATTAGGTTAATGTACTTCTACATTTTAGAAAACATGTAGAATTAAATACAAACAGAGTTGTCTGTATAATTTAAGGATTACTGTTAACTTATTATAAAATAAGTTTTTATAATATTACTGTTAACTTATTATAAAATAAGATGCGGGCACAAGATAGCCTATGATCCAATGCCAGTTCAGTACACAGAGACTCGTTATGAATTGCATTACTATGTGGTGAAGAAATTGTTTCGTTTAAAAAATGTAAACCATTAAAACTCATCAGCCTTTCTTTCCTATAAATTTGGGATCTTTTAAAATAAAAATAAAAATTTATATTGGGAATATTATTTGTAGTTCTGCAAATAATGTTACTTTTGCATATACAGTAGAAATAGAATGGAGATAGCAATATTGTAGAATGATACATTGTTAATCTAATCTGTGGTATCAAAATTCTGTATTTAAAAAAAATCTTAAAAACTATTGCTTGGAGTAATAGCTTTAATTTTTGAGGATGACAATTGTGTTCTTTAGAAAAGATCTGAGCCCATCCTGGAACAGACACCCTTGGAGAAAATACATTAAATAACAAAAGAGCCAGCTAATGACTGAGATAAAAAGCCAGCCTTACCCTTTGGTAAGGTACCATATAAATAGATGCTGGAGACAGCACTTTTTTAAAGCTAGAATGAGGGGGAAGCAAGGTAAGGAATATAGGAAACATTTATTTCAACTAATATATTTTATTGTATTCATTTTTTTTTCTTTATTAGATTACATGTACTGATAGACACAAGAAAAGCTGCTCTTTATGGACCTCTTCTGCTTTAACATGGAGGTGCTTTCTGTGTATATACAAAAAGTAAGTGCTTGCATGTTTCAGTAGAGGTGAATCCTGAATTCAGGCCTACTTTTCATATCTTTGTTTCTGTGTTGTTCAGTTCAACACCATGGAAATAGCCATGGTAAACTATACTTATTTGACTGCAATATCAGTTTCTACCAGCGTGTAAACTAATTCTGAAATTTGGCAAGAAAACAAGTTCTTCCTAGAGTAACCTAAAACATGCAGAGGCTGGATGGCCATCTGTCAGGGATACTTTGATTGGGAGTTCCTGCATGGCAGGGGGTTGGACTGGATGGCCCTTGTGGTCTCTTTCAACTCTATGATTCTATGATTCTATGTTTTTATACAACCAAAGTAATCAGAGAATACAGCTTTCACCTTTAGATGGAGAATCTTTTGCATAGAAACAGTATTTTTCACATTTCAGTGATAGTAAACTTTGTTTTTCTGAACACAGCCCCTATGGATGCATTCTCCTCAATCCATGAACACTGGCTTGGAAAAAAATTATTTAGGTACTACTTCCCAAGTAGGTACACTTTGGGAGTAAACCTTAACAATGTATATATTTACTGCATTTTTATGTTCTTTTCCAGGAGCTCAAGGTGAAAATGATGGTCTCATTGGAGAAATGTTCTAGCAAAAGTGTACTTGTGTTTTAAACCGTTTCTTGCTCAAAATGTAAAATATTGTAGTTCAGTTAATGTGTTAAAAACACTGTTCCTATAGATTAATATAAACTGTTAACTTACATGGATTTTTATATACTGTTTTTATTACTGAGACTTGTATGATTTGGGTTTTGTCAGAATTTTGAAAATGATCGTGTATTGACAGAAAAGTGATTCTATAAATATACTTTAATAATGTTTCATAATGTTTTAAAATGTAACATGATAAAGGACTATCCTTTACTGTAATATGAAAGCACTTGTTTTATTCCTCTTAAAAAGTGCTTTCATATTTCAGTGATGGCACGTCCTATTTTAATCAACTATGCAGGACTGAAAGAATGCTTATAATTTAGTAGAAAAGGAATTACATACATGTAATTACAACATCAGACTGAAGAGCTCTTTAACATGAATGCATTTACTATGTTGAAAGAAAATAGTTCATCTATGTGCTCATTTATTAGTGAGAATTTTTCAAAATGAAGATGTAGCACAGAGACCTTCTGACCAACAATATATCCTTTTCATTAATTTTCAATCATGAATTTAAGGTAATCTTTTCATATACAAGGAGGAGATCTTCAGCTGATCTATTGCTGTAATCTTTTACTGTTGCTATTGTGCAACTCTGTCATGTAAAATCTGGAATTGCACTTTAGCAATGGTGATGGATTATAAGCTGTACAAAAAATATGTGGAAAATACAGAAAAACTACGTGGACTCTTGTAATATGGCTATAATATGTATTAATTCATATACTAAATACTGATTTAGTCATTACTCTATAGAGCTTCTGTATAGTTTCCTGACAAATAAAAAGCATTTTGTTAGCAATTGCATATCTCTGTTTTCTACCACTCTGAGCAGATGTGTACTGAAGTGATACTAGAGTTGCAGTAGGTCTAAGAATCTCAACTGCTACTTAAAACTGTCTAAAAATAAACAATGGCCTAAATCCAATACAGTTAGGCATCCTTAAGCCCACTGATTTAAATTAGGGTCTTAACCCAAGCAAAAGTACATACACTGGCATCCCATTGGTTTCAAAGGGGGGGGGCGGAAATCAGTTTAATTTCTAACATCAACTGATGCAAAAATTTAAATGACTTCTAGATGTATATAGATTTTGCCTGTAAATTCAAAGTCACATAACTTGTATAGAATCTGGAAAATGTACTTTTTGTAATAGATTTTCTCATTGAATTAGCAGAAACCACATTTAAACATTTCATTATTTTACAAAGGTATCTACTGAAATGACTATATAATAGATATCAAATTTGAATTGAAAACTGAACCCAATCATAATTAATACCTTTGCTTGAAGTGGATTCCTCTGATTTCTAAAACACTACTTAACAAGGGTTTAAGAATTATAAGTTCCTTTAGGCCACAACTACCTGTACTGCATTCAAGAGAGCATGGTGTAGTAGTTGGACTGACTCTGGAGACAAGGGTTCAAATTCCTGCTCAGACCATGGAAACCCACTGGGTGACTGGGTAAGTCAAATTATCTGCCTCGAAGAGGAAGGCAAAGGCAGACACCCCCCCCCCCCCAATAAATCTTGCCAAGCAGTCTCTGTGATAGGGTTACCAAAAGTCAGGATTTGAAGGCACAGAACTGCATTCACCTGCATTTTAGAAATTCTCAATAAGCTTGTAAAATGTGGCAGATGCTTTGGATTTACTGAAATCAGAAGAGTCAGCACACAGAACACTCATGTAGAACAACAGATGTGAAAAATTATCTGATTATGGGTTACATGTCACTACATAAAACACACAAAACTACATAAAATTATAGATTGCAAATTGTAAAACAAAACAAAACAAACAAACAAAAACAACACTTGTGAATTTGGGTTTTCTTAGGATGGAGGTGGTGTATATATTTAGAATGCCTACTCAAACTGAAACTAATCTCAAATAGCAGCTTCCCAGTGAGAAAGTCAGCAACCACACTACAGAGCAACAGCTCAAGTACTGTTAGTAACCCCCCTCCCCCACATTTCAGAAGCCAAGCAAAGTCAGCCTTAGTTCTTGGGGACAGGAGAACACTGAACAGCAGCAACCTCCAGGCAGGATTAGGAAAGAATCCTGCCACACACATACCTGCTTGTCCTGTAACCTTATTTATGTGATTCAATGCAGTATATGGAAAAACTCACATTTATGTGATTCAATGTCAGTATATGGAAAAACAGACCTATATACATGCTTCAGGAATCACAAGTCTGCAAGTCTGACTAAAAAGCTTGAGCAACCAGACTTACACCAGAGGTGCCATCTCCTTGAAGCATATTAGACAAAAGGGACAAATTGGGGACTTTAGCTGTCAACTTGGTTACAAGCGCACTTTTATTTTAAGCAATGGGGAGGGTGGAAGCTGTGATCTTGCTTATAAAGGGAACAATTATGTTCTGTTTGCTAATCTACTGCTGTGTGCCTTCAAGTCATTTCTGACCTATGGCAACCTTAAGATGAACTTATCATGGGGTTTTCTTGAAAAGATTTGTTAAGAGGGGGTTTCCTCTGAGGCTGAGAGTGCGTGATTTGCCCATGGTCACCCACTAAGTGTCCATAGTTGAGCAGGAATTTAAACCCTAGTCTCTAGAGTCATAGTATAACACTCAAACCACTAAACTATGCTGATTCATAGGGTTACCATAAGCCAGATCGATTTGATAGCAAATAAGAACAACCAACAGGAAATGGTACTGCAGTGGGTTTCCATGGCTGATTGGGGATTTGAATCCTGGTCTCCAGAGTTCTAGTCCAACACCCAAAGCACTACAACACACTTATCTATAAACAGACAGACATTAGAGTGGTTAACTGTATCCTACAGTATCCAGAACAAGCTTGTAAGAAGTGCTGTTTGTTTACATTTAAACCACCTATACATATGTTGCAACATTCCATTGTACAATTAGTCAAAAAGACTTGGTATGCTTTGACTTACTTTGAGAGAACTCTCAGTGGAATGACCTCTTCTCCCATCTTGTGTCTTTCTTTATGTTTTTTCTTATGTTTCCTTTTAGATTTTGAAAGAGATGTATCTTTTTTATCCCCAGCATCTCTCTCTTCTTCAGTTGAAATTTCTAAGTGAAAAAAAAAACCAAGAAATATTTAAAGTGATGTCTGCTTCCATGTGCATTACACTTGTATCATGTTTTCATTGTTGCTGTTTATGTGTGCCTTCAAGTCATTATCAACTTATGGCAACCCTAATTTAAATCTATGATGGGGTTTTCTTGACAAGATTTGTTCAGAGTTTGCCTTTGCCTTCCTCTGAGGCTGGGAGAGTGTGATTTGCTCAAGGTCACCCAGTGGATCTCCATGGCTAAGCAGGGATTCAAACCCTGTCTCCAGAGTTGCAGACAGACACTCAAACCACTACACCATACTGGCTCTCCAGCTTTACATACTTTCTGCTAATAATCACAGAAACAAGGGAATTCTTCTGTTATTTTTCTATTTGGTATTCAGAAGCATTCATTCATAGCCAAGGGTAACAAGCACAAAACAAAACAAAAAAAGTGATGTGTTAACAACATAACAACGCACATCCTTATGTAAGTCTTATTTGTATATTATTTGACCACCTAAAGAAGTGCTTGTTTAAAACTGATCAAACTACCATTTAAAAAGTTCTGTTAAAGCAGTGCTTCTCCATTATTTTCTGTCATGCCCCCCCTAGGAAGAAGAAAACATTTCGCGCCCCCCCCCCCCGCGCGACTAAATAGTCACACGGGCTGGTTTGGCCAATCAGGATAGAGCACATCGGGCTGCTACTGGGGCTGCGCTGGGACAATCTCCAGTGTTCGCGCCCCCCTTTATGGAGCCTTGCGCCCCCCTGGGGGGCGTGCCCCACTATTTGAGAAATGCTGTGTTAAAGCAAGATATTTGAATCCACATTCTTTTTAAGCTTGAAATTAAGCCACCAAGCTCCCACTGTTTCAAAATAAAGTTTTCAACCATGCAGTAATACAATCCAAAGCCTCTGTTCTTGATCAGAAATTAAATGATATGAAAGAAAACCATACTGTTACCTTTAGAATCCTCTGGCCCTTCTGTTGATTCTTCTTTTGTAGAATGAACAGTATCTTTCTGAGAAGTTTTCTTTGCTTTCACAACTTGTACTTCATCTCCAGAATGGCTTCGCTTCCTTTTTCCTGGTCTACTTTCTCCTAAACTTGAGCTTTCTGTTCTATCAAGCTTTTTTTTCTCTTTCTTTGAAGACTGTCTTTGGACTTCTTGTAATTCTATTTCAGAGTTCTCTGACACTGTCCTGCGTCTCTTTGACCTGCTTGAGGGTTCTGCAGTGATGTCCATATTTAAGTCTTTTGGTTCCGCGGTTGATTGTTGATTGCTTTCCTTCTTTGTTTTGGATTTCTTCTTCTTCTTCTTTTTCTTTTCTTCTATGTAAATGAAATAAATGTTTTAATAATCTGGATTTTTCACATTTTTATCCCATTTTGCTTCCTTATAGAACTAAGCCATCCTTTCATGCATGTGATGGAAGTGGACTCTGTCCTGTGAAAACTTATGTCACAATAAATGTGCTATTGCTGTAATAAATTTTACTAGTTACTCCAGGGAATTTCTTACTATAATCTTAATTACACTATATTTCCATGGCTGTAATAGATGGAACAGTCTGCTCATCTGATTTCAAATGCTCAACAACAGGGGTAGGCAACCTTTCCCCTTTAAGAGCCGAGGGACTTCAGCTCCCAGAAGCCTCAGCCATGTTGGCCAATAGTCCCATGTTGGCCAATAGCTCCTGGGATTCTGGGAGCTGAAGTCCCTTGGCCCTTAAAGGGGAAAGGTTGCCTACCCCTGCTCAACAAGGTCAGGGCTGTTAGTACTTGGACAGGAAACTACTTAATGCCAAGTATATCAAGGTAGGACTAAGAAAAAAATTGCATCAGGAAGGCTGGAGATCTGCTGCAGTCAACTGTTCTATCTCCTCATTTTGATTACAGGAAATAACTATCAAAGAGGAAAAATAAATAGGACACATCATAGAAATTTGGGAGCTCCATTCTCTTCTGAGCATAGGAATAGTCAGATGCATTTGATGAAGACAGTGTTTTGTTTGAAATGTTTATTTAATGCCACATCCTTCAGAATGATACATAATTTTTTAAAAAAACAAATACACTAAATAAAATCAAATAAATTCATAAAAACAAATGTATCAGTCAAAAAGGTATTAGAAAGTTAAAACAATAGAGTATTAATCCAATTGTTATTTCCAACTAGAACAATGCCCTTGAATCTTCACCTATGTCAAAACTTAAGTTTTACAGATTCCATGGGTCTACTGTGACTGAGACTAATAATCTGATTTAGACCCAAAATGTTTAGGGCCACAATACAATTTAAAATAATGAAATTAATATAATAATAAAAATCTGACTATTTGGAAGCTAAGTAGGGTCAGACCACTAGGAGATATTCCATAAATGCAGACCACTACTGTGAATACTTTACTATGGCCAGTTGCTTTCAGAAATAACCCTAATAATCAGTAAGGAACATATGGAAACAGACACACACTCAGGCAGACTGCTCTTAGACTATTTAAGACTTCAGAAGTTAGCATCAATACTTTGATTTGGCCTGAAATTTGACTGGTAACTAGTACAGTTAATGGAGCGATGTTTTCAATACAATTAGTTCCAGTGAGCAACTGTGGTGCTTTATTCTGCACTAACTTTTTCCAGACCATCTTCAAAAAGTAGTCTCCCATAAAATGCACAGAAAAATCCAGGAGGAAGGTTACTTGGGATGGATAACTGTAGCTAGGCTCTCTGTCCATGCAAGAGTTTAGCTGTTACATTATCTTAAGCTGATAAAGGACACTCCAGGCCACTATGGCCAGTGGCAGAACTGTATTTACCAGCACCCCTACAATTCAAACTTGCTCCTGCAACCCATCCAGAACAACGTGGGCACCACTAAACAGACTATTCACCTACTAACAGTACCTCTATCTTGCCTGGATTAGGAGCTACACAAAGCAAAGCAAAGCAGCTTCATTTATATACCGCTTCATACCACGCTATGGGGTGTCTAAGCAGTTTACAACTGTGAGCTTATTGCCCCCCAACAAGCTGGATACTCATTTTAATGACCTCGGAAGGATGCAGGCCTGAGTTGAGCCTCAGCTCTGGCTGGTATTGAACTCTCAAACTTGTGGTTTATGAGTGAGTGGCTGCAGTACAGGCATTTAATCACTGTGCCACCAGGGCCGATACACAGTGTTAATAAGTTTCCCTTTTCTGCCACATGTTTATGTTAGAAGGAAATAGGGGCTAGATACTTTCAGATGTTTTGATGTAGAGTTCCTCCACATGAATGAGAAGCCTAACCAATCAGGATTATACAGTCTAGTGGACCCATTTCTACAACAGCAAATATGTAGATTCAAGTGCTTCAACATGAATGGGCAATCAACTAACAGCCATGAGCTTTCTCTCTCCACAAACATGCATTCACTGACTGTGAATGGGCAAAATGACCTGGATTCCGGCCATGTTCAGGGTGTAGCATTCAGATGCCCATCCCAAAAGCGATCTGAAGCCACACCAAGCCTGCATCATCCGGAAAGAACCAGGCCAAGAAGGAGCAGACAGACTCCTCTCAACCCGGCAGCTTGGTTCAGAACCGCAGTGGTGGCTTGGATTGGGACTGGGTGTGTGTGTGGTTGCTGCCGTCCCAGCGCCAGCGCAGCCTCGCACCACTCTATTTGGCCCATTTGTTTCAGTCAGGTATTGGATGAATAGTCCTCTTATATAACATATATTTTCTTTTGATTTTTGGTCTGATTTTGCTTCATATAATTCACTTATATGTTCATGTATAGTTGAAGCTAGCATACTTGTTTTCACTACACTACATTTGATAGTCCTGATGAGAAATCTGTACTGAGGACAAGAGGCCACTGTTAGAACAGAAACAGAATGGTTCCCAATTGGCAAAGGGTCAGGCAAGATTGAATTGTATCACCTTATTTCTTCAACTTTGTATGCAGTAAATATCATAAGAAGAGTAGGTTTAGACTCAGAAGCAGAAGAAGAGGAGGAAAGAACACCAACAATCTAAGATAAGCAGACGACACCATACTACTAGCAGAAAACATCATAGATATGGAACAATTACTAAGGAAGATTTAAGAAGAAAGTGCAAAGGTAGGCTTGCTGCTGAGCATAAAGAAAATAACAATAATGACCATGGAGGATCTACATAAATTCAGCCTAGGCAATGAGGAAATCAAAAGATTTCCCAGACCTTGGATCAAACATTGAACAGAAAGGAGTCTGCAGTCAAGAAATAAGAAGGCTAGGAATATAAGGGCAGTGATCAAAGAACTAGACAAGATCCTAAAGAGTAAAGATATACAACTGGGTACTAAAGTTAGAATCACTGTATTCCCAATCACCATGAATGGATATGAGAGCTGGATGAAAGTGGATTAAAAAAATCAGCTCAATTAAGATGTGGTGCTGGAGAAGAGTGCTGAGAATACCGAGGACAGCCAAAAAGACAAACAAGTGGAGTGTTGAAGAGATCGAGCCTGAACCTTCTCTGGAAGCCAAGATGATCAACTTGAGGCTCCCATACGTGGGTGACATCTTGAGAAGGCATGATTCCTTAGAAAGGTGTTAAGAAAGGTAGAAGGTAATAGAAAGAGAGGAAGACCGTATGCCACATGGCTAGACTCAATTAGAGAAGTCATGGGCCTGAATCTACAAGACCTAAGCAGAGCAGTGGAGAATGTGTGTGTGTGTGTGCTTGGAGATGTCTCATACACATGGTGGCCAAGAATGGAGGTCGATTCAAGGTCAGTTAACAAAGCATACTTGTCAAAATAAAGTTGAAAAACACGCCTGTCAAGTGATCACCCTTTACTTTTTACCTTTACCTTTTACAAGTGACCACCCTTTAGGAGTGGTTAAATACAATTAATCATGTTGGTAATGGATCAACAGACCTGTTCCCCCACCCACCAAAGCAATAGACAAAAGCAGATAGTACTCACCAACTGTGCTGGCATCACTTGTAGCCAATGTGGGAACAGGCTTATTTTTTACTGTTTTGGGGAATATACCAGGTTTTCTTGGTGCATCTTCTGGTGGGTTATTCAAGAACTTAAATACAAAACAAAACAAAACAACAACAAAAAAACACCTTAAAAAAAAGGGTCTGAGCCTTGTTATGAACAAAGGAAAATTCTGCTGCTCTCCAAGCCAACTTGAAAGCACCTCTGTATGATTTCACATCTAGAATTTGTTGCATGGAAGTCATCACCAAGAGATGGCTTACTAAATGATCATTATCATAACTAGCATTAAAATTAAATCCTCTGGTATGATGCAACTGTACTACAGGCACTGAAATAA